AACGGGATACAGAAGATAAAAAGGTAAGGGTATTCATTGCCATCCCCATCGCAGTAGGGATCATAGTGTTAGAACAGTACAGCCAGCAGTTGCAAAACAATATGTACATTGACATTAAGAAAGGTTGCGTATTTCCATTTGAGTTTGGTGCCATGGCTATTTCCTCAATTAGTGCTTCCTGTCACATCCGGTGTATTACCGATTAGTCATTCTGGGCATCTATCAATTCGAAGCATATCTTTTGCCACTAAATCTTAGCCTTTATGGCATCACCCTTACTATAATGTCACAATGGTACAACATTGTTAACCTTGGATTCAACCCATGTGGTCTTGAATAATTAACTGGCTTACGCCCTCGACTGAGTGGTTTTGATCTGGGCTGCTGCCATCTATCCCCTCGTGTTCTCTTTTACACTACACGTGGCGTATCCTTTTTTGCAGAGGGGCTTACCCTCATTCTAAATTACCCTCTCTGTGATACTTGACTCTTTCTTTAATTTCTTGAAAAAAAAAAAAAAAAGATAAAGATACACTCGTAGAAAAATAAAGAAAAGAAAAAAGGGTTTAACTATTTTCAAAGTGAGTTTGCGCCAGTGGCTTGCACGGATGCACTCTGTATTTGTAATAGATGCTATAAAACCTATTCAGAACAGTTGGTGCATCTTATGTTTGCCTATATCATTCCGAGCTCAGTTGTCTGATGTGGTTGTTGATATGGCTGTCGACCCATGAAGACTAGAAATCACACCTCAGCTTGGCCCGTCAGCTGTGACCTCCCTTTCTCCCACCTCCTCGCTTTCTCCATGTCTTCGCTCCACTTTCTTAACTGTACTTTTGGGATAATTTTACTCTCCCTTTTCTTCCTCCTTTGTACACCTCCCCTTTCCTTCGTCTTCTCATATGCCTCCTGTAGGTGTTTTTTGGGTTGAATGTGTCTATGTGCCATTGTTTCATAATCTAGGTTCAATCAAATTTGGTTCAATAGTGCTGGTGTTGTTGGAAGAACAGTGGTTTTCCATGCCTTGGCTATCAATAAGTTTGCCGCTATTAGTATGTGAAAAAGTAGGAAAGATGCTGGGCCAGGAAGCCTAGTGATATAAATAGTAGACATAGTTCGCTAGTGAGTTCAATGTGTGAGCCTAATGCAGTGGTCGCGATGTTGGCCACTGTTTGCCAGAATTTCTTGATTTCGTTACACCTCCACCATGTGTGTTACATCGTACCCACCTCTTGTGAGCATCTCCAACAAATGCTAGTATAGAAGTGTTCGAATATATATGTGCTTGTCTATCTGGCACCATGTACCATCTATATTGTATCTTCCTCATAAGTTCTAGATGGGAGGCACTACTCAATCTACTACTGTGTGCCACAAATGCTGTGTTCCATACTAGTGTATCTAATGTCTGGTTTAAGTCATTCTAGCATTTGAGTCTAAATTTGTCCTGTGGCTCTTTCTGCGTGTCAGTCATTACCCGGTATGTGGAATACTTTTTTCGGGATGGAGGGAAGTGAGAACGCTTTCTCAAAATAGTACATGATAGGTGTGGGTGGTTGTATTGGATGCTGTGTGAGCTCCACTTTAATCTGTAGTTTGGAGAACAACGCTCTGGACAGCAGATTAAACTTCCCCTGGAGGTCTGGAAACTGAAGTAGAACTGTTTCGTCAAAAAGATGTCCTATAGTGGAGCAACCTCCAGTCAGCCTGGGTCTAAAATCAAAGGAGGGGTTAATTATGTGTAAGCATTTTATAGTATCCTTTAATGTGAGGCATGCCCAATCCCAATGTCAGGCAAGCCCAATGGGTTTTGCAGTACCCTTGTGGCGTCCCGGACTTTACTGTTGCCCCATATAAAACACGTAAAAAGGGTTTGTAACTTGTCTAGATAGGTCCTGGATGTATAAATGTGTAATGTTCTAAGTAGGTACTGGAATTTGGGAAGTATGGCCATTTTTACTGCCGCCATTCTCCCCAACCATGTCAAGAATTTTGTATCCCATTATTTTAGTGTATTCGTTATGTGTCTCAATAGTGGTTCATAGTTTTCTTTCAGAAAGTCTACCAGATTCTTTTTGAGTTTAAGCCCCAGAAATGTGATGACGTCCGATCTCCAATCCAAAGAGAAGGAAGCACAGAGAGCTTGTACCTCCGTCTCTGGTATGTCCAACCATAATGCTTGCGTCTTGGATACATTTAATTTATACTAAGATAGTTTGCCATATTCCGTTATTGTCTGTAATAGATTTTGAAGTGAAACCCTGGGCTGCGTCAGAGTCAGTAGCACATAGTGTGACTTCTAATCTTTTGTGCTAAAGGTTCTAAGGCCAGAACGCATGGCGCCGTCAGTTTGCTATATAAGGCCCTCACCACTGACAGGTATCCCCCAGGGATGCCAAATTTAAGTAGCACCGCCTCTAGGAACCCCCAATGCAGATGGTCAAATGCCTTTTATGCATCAAGGGACCCCCAACAAGCCCCCCGAACCTGATTTTCTGAAACTGTGCATCATGCTCACCAACCTACGGGTGTTCTTAGAACCTTGGCAACCTGTCACAAAGCCCACTTGATCAGAATGGATTACATGGGGTCAAATCTTACTGAGTCGGATTGCATATATCTTTGCGAACAGTTTCGCGTCCATATTTAAAAGTGATATGGGCCTAAAATTTTTAGGTTTGGTAGGTGGATTACCTAGTTTCGGTAGTGTGACAACATGTCAAGTATATCAGTGTGTAATTGTTCAGTGGTGACAGCGTTGGCAAACAGTGTAACCAGTTGAGGAGCTAGCGTGATTCATAATTTTTTACAGTAGAGGTTGTCCAAGCCACCAGGTCCGGGTGCTTTACCTGACGGCAGTGCCCTAATAGCGTCAACCACCTCCTGTTCCGACAGTGGACTGGTCAAGTCTGCCTGCTGTGGTGTCGTCAAGTGGGGTAAATTAAGGTCCGTCAGGTAGAGAACTATATCCTCACTCTTCGGTTGACGTAGCTAGGGATCCTGTTTTAAATTGTACAGATCCAAGTAGTATCGCCCAAATTCATCACTGATATCTTTTGGAGTATGTATCTTGGTTCCCGTTCGCGTTGTGAGATATGTTGTCCCTCCTTCAATCTAGCGGCTAAGAGCTTACTCGCCTTGTTCCCCTGAGCATATATATTGGCTTTGAGGCGTTTAAGCTGATAACCTGTGGCCCAAAGGGCATGCTGGAGAATAAGTCTCGTCAGGGACAGGATCTGGCCTCTAAGGGATAGAGATGGTGTTAGTTGGTTTTGCACATTTAGTGCATAAAGGTCCTTTTGCTATTGCTTCAATTGTGCCTGAGACTGTTTAGATAGTGCAGCAGCTCTTTGGACTTCCTCTTTTTTAAGCTCAGAAAAAGTTACTTAATTCAGTTTTAAAAAGTATTCAAAATAATATTTTCATAAGAATTATCAAAAATTAATTTAATTTTTATTATATCAAAATTGATCTCTTGAGAATTACCCACTATTTTAGTTCTCTTGGATCCTAGAGAACGTCACCATTTAGAGGATTTTTACTCCATACAAATAAATCACAATTTCTTATAAAAATTTAATTTATTGTGACAATAATAATAAAATAATAATAATATGTAACATGCGTGATAATAATCAGTGAATACTTAGTATAACATAGGTATACAATATGGCAGTGATTTAAACACTTACACGGCGACACCACCAACTGTCAAGAACTTAGCAAGATTTATGATAGGTAAACAATCTCATAGACACAGAACACAGCACAGCTAGAAGTCGTAAAATCTTGGCTATCAGTAACCCTTTTACTGCTGGCTAGAATCCCTCTAGGCATATAATATCCTATTCTTATGCAATTTTCAATTAAAGTAATGTTCATAACCATTCCTAGAACCATCTAATAGGAAACATCTACCATAGATACACTATCTTATTTCAGAGCAAATCAATACATCTAGATAAAAACAGCAGTATGCCAACACGTGATAATAATATCATTAATATATATAATTATCTTGATTCCACCCGCAGAATGGAATGTTTATAACCATATATTCTTTAGTTAACTAAGATTTCTAATTATTGAAATCTAACCAAGATTTATCCAGGCATATATTCCTGCTACGAGTGGAGGTATGGTTGGTTATGATTGTATGGGGGTGTGCATGTGATAGAGAAAGTGGTGTTGGTTTGGGGAATTGAGTCAAAGAGAGTTTGAGAGTTGAAAGTTTCTTGAGTACAGTCAAATAGTATGAGAGTTTAGTGTTAGTCCCAGAGTGTCCTGAATCTCTCTCCTCCATTCCCCTTCTTCCCTTTGTCCTTACCTTTTAAAGGGCCAGACTCTCTGTACGTCAGTAGTTGATCAGACCTATAGGGCCCTGAAGGTGTGGCTAACCAACAGACCACCATCTAGATTTTGGTTAGTAGATGGCACCCTTACATCACCAACATTTCTTGTCCTGAAAAGGGTTAACTAATTTTGATGACGATTTTAACGTAATTTGGCTGATCTAAATTGACTGCTATCAATCACCAGACGTGTCCGTTCAAAGCATTTTCTTTGGTTTTTCCCGTCTTCATGGCGGTGTTTTCGTAATTTCTAAAATTGACACCTCCTAACCTTAATTTCACCCTATTTCTTACAATGGGACCTTGTAAGATTTAGAAAGTTAAATTAATTACTACGTGTTATCTATCACTAGTGTCTGGCTTTCTTGTGTCTGGTCCTTTTGTGAAGCTGTGTGTATAGGATTATTTTTCTATTCCACTAACATTTATTAAATAATATTTCTTCATGAATATGTATCCATGAATGGTCTATATTATTAACATTACTGATTCTATGTAATTAATATAGTAAAATAAGTGTCTAGTGGTTAGATGTGTGTATATATACGTATATGTGTATATATATATATATATATATATATATATATATAAAATATTCAAATACTTGCACTCCTGTAGAGATAGATTAATGCCTGGTGCTAATAAAGCAAATAACATAAAAATAAAAATGGTAGGTAACAGCACTCTAAGGACTTCAAAAAGTACTTTTTGAAGTCCTTAGAGTGCTGTTACCTACCATTTTTATTTTTATATATATATATATATATATATATATATACATATAAATATATATAATGTATATACTTGTCTCTGGGTTGTATTCCACCCCCATCCTTGCTGTGTTTACATAACGCATTCCTTAGCACAGGCTGGAGTTACAGAAAGCAAGAAATGTTGTGCCTGTCTTGCCTGAAATCCAAAATGGAGTCCGTTTGGTTTTAGGTGTGACTGGCAGTAGACACTTTTAATTTCTATCTTAGCACAAAATGTCTGCCGATATAAATATTCTGACAATAGGTAACTTAAGGTTCTGCAAAAAATCATTTTATACTTGACCTAGAATTACCCCCCTCTATTTACTATTAAATAGTGAGCTGTAATAGTTTGTGAAAGCATCAGCAATTTGAATGAGATCTAGTAGCACTTTATTATTAACACGTTTCTTGTCCCTAAGTCTTTAATTTTTCTTCGAAAACTAATTGGTAAGGATGTTATTCACTCTGTTTTTGCGATCATACCAATTCTGTTTAGTTTTAAAAATGTTTATTTTCAGCTTATCCTTCATTTTATCATTAATCTCTTTTTTTAATTTTAATTATTTCTTCAGCTAAACCTGATTTAGGATCTAATTTTATTTAAACTTTCAAGATTCGCTAACTTGATGTATAAATCTGAAACCGATTTCCCTTTTTGTTTTCCTTAGATAAACATTCTCTAATAGTGCATTTTAAAGCACCCCAGAGTGAAGGGTCAGACATCTTGTTGTTATCATTAATCTATAACATTTTCTGTACTTGAACAGACTCTGCCTAGTAGTCTCCAAGATCAGATTGTGCTCATTTATTCACCATTCAGCTTTAATGTTATAGCAGGATTATTCTTAAGTGTGGAAGACTGGGGCACGATCAAACAATATTTCCTATGTGTGAAGAAATACATTTTTACAAGTAATCAGATTTTGTAAATATAGCATCTATCCTTGAATAGGAGAGATGTTTATTAGAGAAATGTGTAAAATCCTTTTTCAGAAGGATTTTGAGTCCTCCAGATGTAAAAAAATATATATTCTTAAACATACATCTAGTTTCAAAAGATTTTTGAATTCACCTTTCTCCCCTTTATTAGTCTTTTATCTAAATTGATACCCCACTTTCTATCCTCTAGCACTCCCTCATACTTGGGGACTTTAACATCCCAATCAATAACATCAACTGCCCCGATGCCTCCCGTCTGCTCTCTGTAACCTCCTCTTTTGGCCTCATGCAGTTGTCAACTTCAGCAACTCATACAGCAGGAAACAGTCTTCACCGATCTCTGTACCACCTCTAATCTCTCCATTGTTCCATTTCCTTTGTCTGATCACCATCTACTAACATTTGACATCAGCATACCCCATACTAAAATGTCACCACCCTCAACTCTCCAATCTCGCAGAAACCTCAACTGCCTTGATCTCCAGCAGTTCTCCGCCAAATTCAAGACTCTCCCAAAGTATCCAACGATTAAATTGCTGTTAAATCTCGCGTCCATTACTCTATCCTAATTCTCCTAGATCTTTCTGCTGCCTTTGACACTGTTGATAACATCTTCGCATTCTCCGTAATTTTGGTTTACGGGATACTTCCCTCTCCTGGTGCTCCTCCTACCTCTCCTAGCGCTCTTTCAGTGTTTCTTTCTCTGACTCTGCCTCTTCCCCCCCCCAACCACTCTCTGTCAGCTACCCCAAGGTTCTGTCCTTGGTTCCCTACTTTTCTCTATCAACACTGCCTCCCTTGGTAAACTCATCAGCTCCTTTGGCTTCTGTTATCATTTCTATGCGAATGACACGCAAATCTAACTGTCCTCTCCTGATCCCTCTCCGCCCATCTTGACTCGTGTCTCTGACTGCCTCTCTTCGATTTCCAAATGGATGGCCGCTCACTTCCTTAAACTCAATCTGTCCAAAACAGAACTTCTGGTCTTTCCTCCCTCAAGTGTTACTACTCTCGTGTCTCTCCCTCCAAGCAAACGGCGCTACCATCACCTCTACCTTGCTTGCTCGCTGCCTGGCTGTTCCAACCTCCCCTTTACCCCTCATGTCCAATCAATCGTCAAATCCTGTCGCTTCCATCTCAAAAACATAGCGCGCATACGCCCCTATTTAACCCTGGATACGGCTAAGGTGCTGGTCCATGCTCTTGTTCTCTCTCGCCTGGACTACTGCAATAATCTTCTCAGTGATCTTACATGTTCCCAGATTGCACCACTGCAATCTATAATGAATGCAGCGGCGAGGCTCATTTTCCTGTCCGCCCACACCTCTCACGCCTCCCCGCTTTGTCAGTCCCTGCATTGGCTTCCAGTTAGATATAGGGCTCAATTTAAAATTCTGGTGCTTGCTTACAAGTCCCTACATACCACTGTAATAAGTACAGATCCCTGAGGTACCCCACTGGTGACAAGTCCAAGTTTCAAATATATTCCATTAACCACAACCCTCTGTTGCCTGTCACTCAGTCACTGCCTTACCCATTCAACAATATTGGAATCCAAACTTAAAGATTGCAGTTTATTGATAAGCCTTCTATGTGCAACAGTGTCAAAAGCCTTAATGAAATCTAGGTAAGCAATGTCTACTGCACCACCCTGATCTATAATTTGTTACCCAATCAAAAAAATCAATAAGATTAGTTTGGCATGATCTCCCTGAAGTAAACCCATGTTGTCTCTGATCTTGAAATCCATGTGTTTTTAGATGGTCAACAATCCTATCCTTAAACATGGTTTCCATCACTTTCCCCACTACTGAAGTAAGGCTTACTGGCCTATAGTTGCCTGACTCCTCCCTATTACCTTTCTTGTAAATGGGCACAATATTCGCTAACTTCCATCTTCTGGGACTACTCCTGTTAACAATGATTGGTTAAATAAATCTGTTAATGGTTTTGCTAGTACACCACTAAGCTCTTTTAATAGCTTTGGGTGTATTTCATCAGGTCCCATTGACTTATTTGTCTTTACTTTTGACAGTTGAAATAGAACCTCTTCCTCTGTAAACTCACGTGTAATAAATGACTCATTTATCCTTTTTCTCAACTGAGGTCCCTTTCCTTCATTTTCATCTGTAAATACCGAACAAAAAATATTCATTGAGGCAGTCAGCTAGACCTTTATCCTCTTCTACATACCTTCCTTCTTTTATTTTTAATCTAACTAATCCTTGTTTTACTTTTCTTTTCTCATTTATGTATCTAAAAAATGTTTTGTCCCCCTTTTTTACTGACTGTGCTATTTTCTCTTCTGTGTGTGATTTGGAAGCTCTTATAACTTGCTTTGCCTCTTTCTGCCTAATCGTATAGATCATTTTGTCTTCCTCATTCTGTTTTTTTTTTTATAATTCCTAAATGCTAACTTTTTGTTTTTAACTATTTTGGCCACATCTGCGGAGTACCACAGTGGTTTCTTGAATTTTTTTTTGCTTTTACTGACAAATTAATTATTATGCAATCAAGCAATCTTCAAGATCAGCTAATTTAAAGGGACACTCCAGGCACCAAAGCAACTTCATCTAAATTGGGTTGTTATGATGCCAGGATGCCCCTAGGGGCACTCTTACATAGAAACATAGAATGTGACGGCAGATTAGAACCATTCGGCCCATCTAGTCTGCCCAATTTTTGGAAATACTTTAATTAGTCCCTGACCTTATTTTCAGTCTAGGAAAGCCCTCGCATGCTTAAACTCCCTCACTGTGTTAACCTCTACTACTTCAGCTGAAAGGCTATCTTGTGCGTCCACTACCCTCTCTGTAAAGTAATACTTCCTAAAATTAGTTTTAAACATTTTGGTTCCCTATGTCTTTCCCCCAGGCTATACATGTTAAGATCCTTTAACCTTTCCTGGTAAATTTTATCCTGCAATCCATGAACCAGTTTAGTAGCCCTTCTCTGAACTCTTTCCAAATTATCAATATCCTTCTGAAAATATGGTCTCCAGTACTGCGTATAATACTCCAAGTGAGGTCTCACCAGGGTTCTGTACAATGGCATGAGCACTTATCTCTTTCTACTGCTAATACCTCTCCCTATACAACCAAGTATTCTGCTAGCACTTCCTGCTGCTCTATTACATTGTCTGCCTACCTTTAAGTCATCAGAAATAATTACTCCTAAATCCCTTTCCTCAGATGTTGATATTAGTAGGGTATCAAATATTCTATTCTCTGCCCTTGGTTTTTTACGCCCAAGATGCTATATTTAAAGAATTTAAAAAATAACTCATGGGTTAAACTTTAAAAAAAAAAAAAAAAACCCTTGAGGTAAAAGTGTATGGATGATGGGGGGGATTGAGGGGAGGACATACTACTGCATGTATATCATAAAAAGTGTCAGTCATAAAACATTAAAGACCGTTGGATGTAAATTCTCTCCAGGGATTTCAGACTTTTGCAAATGTATCCTGTGACTGTCTGACTTTAGAGGTCAATTCGTCCATAACTGCATTATCTTACATTTTTGCAATAACATCTAATAATCTTGGGGGATCCATTTTGAGCCAACCTGCTGCTATGACTCTACGAGCTACTAATGTGATTAAATTGAAACATTTTTGATTATGTTTGGGAAGTTCCTCAATCGTGCAAGATAAAAGGAAAGTCCAATGAGACAAATCAATTGATCTCTAAAAAATCATACTTAATATGTCCCTTGTGCTTATCCAAAAGTTATGTAGTTTTGGGAAATATTCAAATTCTTGTCTTATAAATTTAATTTCTTTAGTCTGCGATACAAAATTTTCTGAGCTATCTAACACCTGTTCCGATAAATCCACTTTTAAATCGTGCATAATTCTATAGTGTCCTCAGTGCCACACTCATTGACCACTTTTTCTTTTGTTGAAATTATAACAGGGCTTAACAAATTTGCTTTAAATATAGGAACCAGCTAAAAAAGTTAGGAGCCATTTTTTTCCCGGCAAATATACAATTCTTAAAGCAACAATATAGTCACCAGGACCACTGTAGTTTAATGTTAGGGCTCTGGTGTC